TGGGGGCTGTTGACCGCAAGCTGAAGTGCGATCGTCGGGAACAAGGCATTGGCGTTCCCACGAGTATCATGTCCACGCTTGAAGAAGAAGGCTCCGCCCAAGCGCTTCGCATCCTCTAAGCGCTGTGACAAGGTCTTCATGACAGCAGACTTCCCGGCCCCTGCAGGACCATATAACCAAAGAAGACTTGGTTCTCCCCTGCCCATCATATCAGAGTTCGATTTGGCAGGCCATTTCGAATCAATACACCAGCTCCACAATGTCTCGAGCATGGCGGTTCGAGTCTCAGGATGACATCGAGGCTGGGCGTAGCTATCCGCCGGGTCGTGGAACGCTTCTGATGCGGAAATGCGGTGTAACATATGAATTCCTAGTAAGCCGTGGGCTCAGCGCATAGCTTTTCGAACGACCTCAGAAGAACGTACCTGATTCGCCGTTTCTCACCTGCAGATTTCCGCCGATGAAGGTTCCTTGATGTATAGTCGTAATTGGTCCGTGTCTGGAGGCCGTGGGGTGTAACAGACTGGTACTGGCTTCGTTGGGGTGGGGAGGGGTGAAAGTGATGGAATGCATGTTTGGGTTGCCGTCGAATAGACCGCTGTACTCGAAAGTTTGATTGTTGTCGCTAAACGGAGGAGCCGCGCTGGTGGTACTCGCGGGAAATATTTCTGTTAACTCATCGCCAACCGCTTGCTGAATTTGAGTATGCGGAAGATTCGTCGTGGCTGGAGTAAAGACCGGCACGCCATATGATATGGGAGTGAAGCGAGGGCTTGTGGTGTATGCATCATGATGATAGAGGTTCCTCACAGGGTTCATGTCTACGAAAATTGAGCGACTGTCGCATAGCCTCATAGGCCTCCATTCGGACGCACGGTAGGGCTCGAAGCGGGCAGAATCGGTCATAGAAGCCATGTGTTGGACGGAATGACCGTTTTGACCTCTGATATGAGAGTACGGCTCGAAGCCAGGGTATGGATGTTCATGTTGACCCGACGATTGATCATGTCGTCTTGAGATTGCATCTGGAAAGCATCAGCACTAGCCAGCGGAGCTTGAGCTCGAGTAACACACTGTAGTATGGCATGTACCTCCCAGCCTCTATGCTTGTCCGATTTGTACGTACCGGCCCCGAAGCTGCCTCCGAACTCCACCGTATTGCTGGATGGGGTGGCGATCGTATGTTCACATTTTCGGCCGAGTAGAAGGTGCAATTTTCTATGTGAATCCCAGAGCTATTGCTGAAGAATGACATGAGGGGAGGGACAGCGTCGAGAAAGAGCTGCGGGAAGTCTTGCGCCACTGATGAAGGCTGTGTATAGCAAGCAAGGTACAGCATGGTTAGGTTCGGATCACGGCGTCTTCTCAATTCACGTGACATGCACGTGCTTCGAAGAGCATTCTGAGAAGAGGCCCAAGATGTGAAAAATAGGCAATGTGTTTGGCGCGCCGTAGCGCCTTCAAAAGCGCGCCAATCGTTTGGGACTCTTGGTGGAAATTATAGATAGGAAATGTGAAAACATTTCTGTCTACTCAGATTTTGCGCCTGATGAAGAGACATCTCGTACATTTGCCATAAGGCTCAACCATTTAGTTTGCATTTGAAGAAGCGGACAAACAAAATGGAAACGGTTAACAAACATTTTAAAACCGTTTACAGCCAATGTCAGTACCGAGGGCGCGGATCAAAAATTTTCTGTTTTGGGATTTTTCCAAAGAATTCCCTATATCTCTGTCAGTTCTTCACCGATTCACATAAAAACTAAATAGATCTACTCAGCTAATTCATGCACAATTAGTGATAGAGAGGAACTTGCGAAAATATTATGTATTAGGTAATTTCTGTTTTGGGGCTGTTTTTGCACTGAATACCGTCTAGCATGGCCAGAACATGTCCCAGTGACCTAGAATTTTGGGAGAGACAACATGCATACCTGACAAAACATGTGATAGAGCCAGAAGTGAGGATAATTTACTTACAGTCCTTCTAGCTCCAGTGAAAATTTTGGCAGTTTTTGGCTTTCAGAGATATTGCCAAGATCACATTCATCTGGACATTTCATATAGTTCTGGCTCTATCACTTGTTTCATAACATATACACGTTGTCCCTCCCAAAATTCTAGGTCACTGGGAAATGTTCTCACCATGCTAGATGGTATTCAGTGCAAAAACAGCCCCAAAACAGAAATTACCTAATACATGATATTTTCGCAAGTTCCTCTCTATCACTAATTGTGCATGAATTAGCTGAGTAGATCTATTGAGTTTTTATGTGAATCGGTGAAGAACTGACAGAGATATAGGGAATTCTTTGGAAACATCCCAAAACAGAAAATTTTTGATCCGCGCCCTCGGTACTGACATCGGCTGTAAAATCCCAGTGCGCCGCTAAGCCATCAGTGCGCCGATCGTGTGCCTTGGCGACAACCAGATTGAAGGTGTTTGACGTAATCCCGCTTTCCCATGTCTGAGGGCAATTGGTATGCTGTTTCCTCCCTCCTCCTTCCTGACCCATCCCTTCCAGATCCAGATTCTACATTTCGCGCCCGGTTGCGCAGTTGGGAAATGCGGGTCATATCCCCTCTTCTCGTGATCCTGTGCGTCTTACCAGAGCTTCCACGTCCCTGCTCTAATCTAAAAATTCCTCCAGTTCTGCTGCATCATCGCTGACCAGAGCGCTCATTATCACTCTTCCAGAGGCGCCTATTACCGTCAGCACCATCACGATCACGTTGTGATAAGGACCGTGGTGCCGCTATGAGAATATGTTTTATCAAATAGACAGCCTGTTCGGCCTCTAGGGGTTATTTAACGTTGGAGGATAGTGGGGATGTAGGATTGAGACGTGTGCGTTGTCCGAATGAGGGGATCGCACGAGGCGTCTGTTCCGTGGTTTCGTGTTGGGGGTACCTGCTGTTAGCTGTAAATGGGTGTGGGGGTAATAGTTACCTGTCCTAGGTCACAAGCTCGAGCGAACGACGTGTTGTTTCCTGTAAAATCCGATGCCTATGCTGCAATCCTTCCTTCTTGTTTCCCCGATGTTCCCAACGAAGGTGGAAGGCTTAATACAACATTTTACAGTTATAAAGCAAGTGACAGCGATGCCGGCTGGTGCTGGTCAGTCGAACATATGGGACGTCCGGTCGTGACGCTGGGTGGCAGACGGCGATTTAAACCAATATGGCTTCGCCCAGGCCGACTTCTACAAAGCGTGAAGCTTGCGAAGTTGGTGATCCTATTACGGGGAAGCCCGATGATATGACTTGGGGTCCGATGAGTTGGGACCTTGCGAAAGGAGGTGTGAGAGTGAAATGCCCTGCTAGAGGCAAGTGAGGATGTGGTCAACTCGGTGTGAGCAAGGCTTTAGTTGCACAGGTGGGGGTACAGGTGGTGGGGGAGAACTAAGCTCCGAAAATTGACTGACTACAACGCCTTTTTCCGCTATCCTTTTATACCGTCCCCTTGATGCCCACTTGTTCGGTTCCATCCCTTTCGCGTTTGAGGGTGCTTGCGCAGGAACGTACACGGCGTGCGTTCAGTATTTGGGGCGACGGACGAGGCTTACATTCGAATTTTGGGGTTCATTTCCATGAACGGACGGAGCGTGCGACGCGAATTGGTACGGACGCAGGACTCGTTCCATAGCAGAGCGGATTCCTGAGCCACAAAAGGTCAGTTATTGGTCGGAAGACGCGTCCGGATGCATCTGAGTAGGTTTCGAGTGGTTTGGAAGGATGGAAACTGGATCGGACGAGGCTTGCGTTCGAGTGTTGGTGACTTCTCGGGTGTGGGAAGAGGATACAAAGCCCAGGATGCCCGCTATTGGTTGGTCCGTACCATTCTCGTGGGCCGTAGCGCGTGGTGCCGTGTTCGTATGTGAGGTGCGAGTCGTGCAAAGGCGGGGTTCGGGTAATGGGAGCGTCCACCGAGCGTTGTGACTAACCGGACAGGTGGTACGAACGGTGTGAGAGGTTGGATGGGGACCGTAGGCTGCGTGCGTTTGATGAGAATCCGGATTTGGTAACTTTGATTCCCGATTTGGATGAACAGGCACCTCATACGTTCTCGTCCAGGGCTCGGTTGAAGGGGCTGTGAGGCGGTGCGCAGGGCGTAGCACAAGCACCAGCCTCACAACGCCTCAAGATGCCCCGTGGCCTCATGGTGCCCACCGAAAAGTGCGTTTTTGTGGTCGTTGCCGCCATCTTCTGGAACTGATGTGGTCATTTAGTAGATTTAGTGGCGCGTCGTGGCATAGTAGCGCAGCGGCTGGAGTCTACGCCAGTAGGCGGGCAGCCCTTTGGGTCATCTGCGGCGGGAGTTGAGCATTGGCGAGCGCTGCGGGCTGCCGAGAGGAAGAAAGAGAGCTTAGCGGTTGAGGAGATTTTCTTTAACTACTGAGTAAATTGCATTGGATTTGTTTTGTTTATGTCTTTGCCAGTTTTTACCTATGCTGATACTTTTCACAACTACGTTTCTTTCATTCCGATTTTATAGTTTAAAAAGGGACTGCATGTATTGAGATAAATTTAAATTTGTTGTGGGCCTTTGCCCAATTGCTTGATTCAGTATCGCCAATGGATAATAAGAGCAAGAACAGTTCGGTGCTGTTTGTCTGCAAAAATGTAGGTTTGTGTTCTCTGTCAGTCATCGTGAGATTTAAATATAAAATAAATAATAAAAATCCAGAGGGGAAATAATTATGTCCACAGCGGGAGTCGAACCCACATCATTCCTTGTAAACATAGAGCAGTCAACCATATTGAAAGGATGTGTTACCACTACACCATATGGACAACAAACATATATATTCTGATGTGACTAAAGTGTTGACAATTGAGTTATGTCTGTGTTGACAATGTACTTGTTGATACAAACGGAAAAAAAATTAAGGAAAATCAATTGAATGAGCGACATATGAAAGAAACAAAAAAAGAGGGTTGATGGAACATATGAGAGCCCTGCGACAGAAACTAAAAAAAAGTTGACCATCAATGGAACATGTCCACAGTGGGATTCAAACCCACGGAACCTCCTTAAATAGGGTGCATGTTACCACTACACCATACAGACAACAAGAGACAATGTTATGGTGGAGGCAGGTGGCACTCGCAAAGTAGACAACAAAAAAATGGTATGTGTGGGTGCACCCAGATACCATGGGTACACCCATTAGTGAGCTGGGAGCACCCGGCTGATATTGGAGGTCTGGCGGGTACACCCGTGCAAGTCCTGGGTGCACCCAGGCTGGTGGGTGTACCCATGGTTGGTCGACATGGGATCACCCACAGTCAGGCAGGGTGTGCCCGGGCTGTGGCCGGGTGGTCCCAGGTAGAACAGCAGGGGTTCACCCACCGCCGCCCTGGGTGCCCCCTGGAAAGGTGGTGGGTGCACCCAGCGAAGGATGGTGGGTAGCTCCAGCTCATGAACTGGGTGCATCCCGATTAGTACAATGGGCAAGCCCATGCACGATTGCAGAGTCAGAAATGGGCAGTATGTATTAAATATGTCGCTTAAGTCTACAAAACAAAACGGTAATGATAATAGCAAGAACATATACAGAAGTCGGTGTTTCAATGGTTTGGTTTGGTGAGACACATGCGCAAAGTTCTATGGAACGAATGTGAATTATGAAAGAAATTGAACACTACTGGTACCCTGGAAAAAGCCAGCGACTTTTCAGCTAGCCAATGAGGTATTGTTTGCTTTAGACATATATAATGCTACAATAGTGCAGAACAGCCAAAAAAACAGCATTTTTCCTGCCGCATGCAACAGCTGTCCAAGCCCTAAACACCTGCAAATGGTGCCCTGAAAACCCAAATTTTGCCAGCCCGCGCACAGCACGGGCCCCTGTAGAAGAACCTGAGTGTATGGAGCATGCAAAAGGCTGGCGAACAGGTGCCCAAACCGCCCCAAAAAACGCAATTTTTTTCCGGCCCGCACTGCGCATGGAACACCCTACAAAAGAGCCTCCCTCAAGCTACTATATAGTGGTCCAAAAGGCCTGTAAATGGGCACCCAAACCACCCCAAAACCCGAATTTTTCCGGCCCGCGCTGTGCGTGGGAGAGCGTGACGTGACACATCTGGATGCACCCAGCATGTCGGACACACCCAGCTGTATTGCTGGGGATGCATCCAGCCTGGATGGGTGGGTGCACCCAGCCAGCTGGGTGTCCCCCTCAAGGTAGACCCCAGTTAGGGTAGTCATATCCAGGGGAGGCAACTACCCTAACTGAGGTACTTCAAGTGTATGACTGAAGTGACGAAGGGCCAAAAACATTATAGTGAAATATCCTCTTTTTTTGTACTATTTGATTTTCTACTAACACCTTTGGCTCCAGCTCCTATTAACTTGTTCACAATAGACATTCCAGGACATACCAACCCTCCCAAGTGTCTCATTGAGGTCTGTACAAGAGCACTGCAGAGCAGGCTGGAAGTGCAGATACACAGCAAAAGAGAGCAGCCTGGAACCCTGCCAGGACCACCCTCTTCTGCTGTTGTCTTTAGAATGTGACCAGGTTGCAGCATTAACAACAACAGATGCTCAGTTTGATGTATTCTCACCTAAATAACCAGCCACAAAGGTCTTCAGTACCTTCACGGCAGTTTCAGGCTGTCTCGTTCAGTGTGTAATGTGTATAGGATAACTAGGTTGCAGGTAAGTCCCTATTAATCATAACAGGTGCTCGGTTTGATATGTTCTCGCCCAATAACTGGCCACAAAGGTCTTCGGTACCTTCGCTGCAGTTTCAGTGTTTCTGGTAATATGTGCCAGGCCCATGCCCAAGCAGTAGAGTGACTATACAGTGGAGTAGCATGGTATCATAGGGCACTTGGCAGTCCATGCAGCACTCTGGCCAAGAGGGAAAATCTTTTGAAACCCTTCGTGAATCCATGAAGGCTGCTGTATGTATTGTTTCTTGAACTAACATATCACCCATTTGTATATAGATGTCTTGCTATGCACTTGCAATATATCAACACCTAGCAGCAGCAGTAACATTGATTTGATTTGATTTTCGAGACCCTTCGCGCATCCACGAAGGCCACTATATGTATTGTTTCTTGAACTGACATATCACCCACTTGTACATAAATGTCTTGCTATGCACTTGCAATATATCAGCACCTGTTGGAGATTGATCCGAGACCTGATTTAGTTACGTCATTCCACGTTGTGTACACACGTTCTTTGTGATTACAATCAATTGTTGCTTGTCTTTTGCGCCCATCTGTGTTTGTGCCCGTCTCTGGTGTTTGACTTCTAACAGCACCCAGCAGCAGCAGCAACATTGATTTGATTTGATTTTTGAGACCCTTTGCGCATCCCCGAAGGCCGCCATATGTATTGTTTCTTGAGCTAACATATCACCCACTTGTACAGAGATGTCTTGCTATGCACTTGCAATATATCAGCACCCAGCAGCAGCAGCAACATCGATTTGATTTGATTTTCAAAACCCTTTGTGCATCCACAAAGGCCACCATATGTCTCATTTCTTGAGCTGGTGTATCGCCCACTTGTATATAGATGTCTTGCTATGGATTTAGAATATATTAGCACCAAGCAGCAGCAGTTAATTTAATTTAATTTAATTTCCGAAACCCTTTGCGCATCCACGAAGGCTGCCGTATGTACAGCCCGTTTGTAGCCAGGTGGCGGAGGAAGAAAGAAGTGACAGCAGTCACGGAGATTTCTGCCCAATTGGGAATGGTTTGATTGCCGACTAAAAGCCTTCACGAAGGTGGGTACCTCTTAGGTGGGTTTAATTATAGCACGTGAACCTACCTAAGAGGTCTTTTACATAAGTGGTGCCTCAGTGCCTGGGGTGCACATACTTGTCATCACATATCCATGTTGAAAACGATGACAATTTTTCAAGGAGTTTTGCATAAATTGGAAGCCACAACTCAGATTTTCTACACTCCTTGAGCTCCTTGATACAAATATTGAAGTGATTCTCGCACTACACCCGTGGGAATAAAGATATCTGAGATGTTGCTTGCAAGGCCGTTGGGCCGTTTAGATCACCCAATTTCGACATGATTATTTTGCCTCCCGTACGCAGTCCAATGGATGAAAATAATCTTAAGGATCTGGTGTATGCTTCAAACCACGATGGTTGCACCTGTGCAGATGCACTGGCATGACCCAAAATCAAGTCCACCTGAATAATCCTACTAGTACCAAGTTGTAGGGGAGCAATGGTCATGGTAACGGCAGCCTGTTGTGCTGAGTGGTCACGGTCACGATGAGGTTGGTTGCCTTAATAAAAAAAAAATCATGACAAGACGAAAAAAATTCTGGTTTTGTTTTTTCAGAGCTGCTGAAAAGGCCAGAATGATTGGAGTAGTTTTATGGAACAGATGATCCACACGATGACTCCTTCAACTCAACTTGAACTCTCTTGATATTAATGTAACCAAAAGGACTTCATGGTTGCTTCTTCACGCAACTGTCATGCTCACAATGGCCCCTGTTGCCAAGGGGGCGTGAAGAATAAATTTAGCTAGGACGATGCCACCCCCCGGTGGGTGGGTGGGGTCCAGAATTGGTACATTTTGGAATTTTTTCTGAGTGCTAAAAAATTTTGTCCAAGCCTTGTGACTCTGTGGGAGCTGTTTCGGCAGGCTGTGATAGGTCCCTTCAGTGAAAATACATCTCCAGTAGTTTCGAGGCCAACCTCGGTGTCATTGCGATAACTAATGAGCAAAACTCAATCCCATGCACAGGGCGGGGAATGATATTTTCCCAATGACAAATTTCCCATACCAAATCGGCGCAGTAACTGACCAAATTTGGTGGTAGGGTGGGTCCTAGCGGCTCAAAAATCATGCAGCGAGAAATAAAATATTGTGGGGTAGGGGGGGTGGGTGCCCAACATCAGAAGATTCCGACAAAATGTAGCATTGTCCTCCGAAATTTTTTCTTCGCGCCCCCTTGCCTGTTGCCTCAAAAAAAAAGGCAACACCTCTGTCACGGTATTTGCCATGGGTCAGGGCTGGAAACCACAATCTGGCAGAATTATATATATTAGAAAGTTCTGCAGAAATGGGAGGGGTCCGAGAGGAAAGACTTCAAACCTGGTTGGTCCACCCTGCTGGAGCAACACACAACATACAAGAGATTATTCAGAGCACATCAAGTTCAGCAGGTGTCAACTATTTTTCATGCTGAAATCCTGTAATAGTCCATTCCCAACTGACTTGGCAAGCACCTGACTCCTCTATGAACATATAGACAAGCATTGGTCCTGGCTTTGCTGCCACCAAGTCCAGGGATAAATTCTGATTTCAGTGGGAAGTCAAGATCAAATTCAATGCAACTCAGAGCACTTTTTGAACAATGGCGTATAATCTTATTCAGCCTGAAGTTGGCAATTCATTCCAAATCTTTATACACTCTGTTGCACTGTCAACAGATGAGAAACTTGACAGGTGTTCAACCAGAAATATTCTTATGAAGATTGTTTAACATCCCAGTCATGTATTTGATGGCAACCATTCTACACCAGCCATGTATTGTGCATTGTTCGTGGGGTATAAAGCCCACACTCTGGCAGATTCACAGGAACACTTACCCTAATGTCTTTGATTTCGGACAAACTCTGAACACATATAAATAATGTATACACTACTTAGATCATCTTCTGACAAATCAAGAGAATTGATTGACAGTGCAAGCAATACTAAATAGCTAAGCTGGTCCAACAAGCGCACAATAAATAAAGTATGATAACATAATGATGTGATCCCCAGGCACACATAAATATATACACAGTGTCCTAACAAACCAATACTATCCATGAAAAATCAGAGTGCAACTGGATCAGGTGCAATTTCATCCTACAAGTCCAGCCCTTCCATGTCTTCAATATCTGAAAGATCACTGATCTCGTCTGCAGTCCCCGAAGGTGCATTGAGCTCTGCAAGATGAGCCAAGTTCTTCCTGTGTTGCTCCAACACATCTTCATCAACACCAGTTAGCCTTTGATCAATATTTTCAACTTGTTTAGCCTGTGAGGACTTTTCAAACAGTGGCCTCGCAGTTGTCCAAAGTTCTAC